TTTGCCATTTCCGCAGGGATCCTTTGAGTTTTTCTTTGAATTCCACATGCAGAGCATGAGACCTTTGAGGTTGCAAAAGCACTGATGGGCTTGAGACAGGGAATCAGGATTTCAGTTCTGTGGTTTGTGTAGTGAACCTGACAGTTTGTTTTTCTAACTTCTGGGTCTCCATTTCCTCACCTACACAGTGATGATAATATTTTCTGCCCATATCCAATGGGTAACATTGGGAAAATAAAATACTCAAGGTGCTTATAAAAAGTTGGAAGAGTGAAAAACACCCAAGGCAGGGGCCGGGGATTTAGCTCAGCAGTTTGGTGGCCTGCCTTGTAAGCTCAAGGACCTGAGTTTAATCCCTGGCACCAAAAAAAAATAAAAAAACAAAAACAAAAAAACCCCAAAACAACAAAAAAAATACCCAAGTCAGTATTCAAGGGTTACTTTTTCCTTCTGAGAACTTCCTGTAAGCTTTGGGCAGGCACATTGTAAGATTCTGCTTTAAAAAAACACTTTTCTAACTCTAGGTAGAAAACTGTTGAGCTTTTTATATGTAGCATTTCCTCTTTTGAAAGAGAATATCTTTGGAAACTTTACCTTAAGACATCATGAGGAAATTCCTTATATTGCATATTAGATATTTTGAAAATAAAATTATGATGTCTTGCTGATTTGATAAAGAACAGCATGATTATAGTGGTAATTGAATAACTCCCTCTCTTTGGACACTTGATGGTAATATCATCTTTCATAAATTAGTGGCATGATTTAATAATGAATGAATTATCTTACCGAACTCCCCTCCAGAAGAGGAAACTGTAGGAAGCTAGAAGTTAAGTGCTCCAAATGACAGGTATAAAAAAAGTCATCCTGAACCTTATGGATAGAGGAAATGACTGTTTGCATTTGTGGTTAGCAATTATGCTTGGGATAGTCTGAACATTGAAATCACTTATAAAAGAAAATGAATAACCATTAAGATTTATTAAGCTAGTCTTTTTATTCACCACTTTCATTAAGCTTTTAATGTATTCACTTCAAATTTTGAAGTAAAATGTAAATACTATCATAATATACATCTGAAGTTACAAATAGGAGCTGGAAATGGTGGTGTGTGCCAGTAGTCCCAGCTACATGGAGGGCTGAGGCAGGAAAATCACTTGGCCTACAAGTGGGCAACATAATGAGACCGCATCTTAAATAAATAAATAAAAAATAATTAATTAATTAATTTAAAAGGAAAGTTACAATATGACATGGGTATTAAATCCCCCATGATAGCCTTGTAGGGAAAATATACTAAAATCATCCTTTTAAATGTTTACCCCTTTTTTGTGAGTTGCAATGCAAAAATCCATGATTTCTGAGACAGAATGTCAGCATCATCTGTAAATATGCAATGATAGGATTTAGGGATATTCAAGACACTTGGCAAAATAGTCCAAACTAATAATGTCAAGAAAGTAGGGTCAGAATGTGATGACTAAGCAACAGGCTAACTAAATCATATTCAATGTAAATAAAAGACTTTGTGAGCACAGTGGTTAATGGTGGAAACATAAATAGGAAAGGCATAAGAACAAATGTAAGCAAAGCCTGCCTGAGCACTTTTCAGATGAGAAATACATTTTGGCTAGGTAGATTTGAATAATATGATTTAATTGGCAAGGAGAAGGCCTTAATCTACCTTTGTTGCCAAGGACTACTTAAGACACTATCAGAAGTTCCCGTGTTGTATTCCAAGCTTGGTAAACACCCTTCAGGGAAGCTGGCTTTCCATGTAACTCTTCTTTAGGACCGAGCACACTGGATGGGCCAAGTGAAGATTTCCAGTTATGTTCCTTGCTGTAATTAATATATACTTTCAATAATATATGTGCTTTTCAATGTATGTATTTATATTTACATACACACAAGTATAAAACCAAATTGAGACCTGCACCTCTGTCCTGCACAGCTTAACTGCTCTGTGATAGACATACCAGACCTTTAAACTTAAGAGAATGAGGACTGAGACCCCAGCCTGGACCCTGTCAGATGCAGCAGTGTGGGGACCAGTTTGAGTAGCGAAAACTAGGCTTCCCAGAAATTATCTCTTCTGTCTTAGTGCATGCTGTCTAAAAACTGAAAAATGCAGCTATTCTGAAGCTTTAAAACAGAAAAAGATCCATGAAATGCTTGGCCCTATTTTATTTTAACCTGCTATATGCTCAGAATACCAGATCCTCATGCTTAGGGTTATTTGGTTGAAATTCTCTTTTGTGTTAATGTGGGAGTATAGCTCTGAGGTTCTTCCACATGCAAAATAAAATCCTAAAGAAGGTTTAGAGACCATATTTTATTGCCTTGGGCTACATAATCCACATTCTAAAATTAAGCATCCATCACAAGGAAAAAAATAAAGAACATTTATATTTGTCACTGTGCAGTCAAGTAAAATACATGTAACAGAAAGAAGTTTTTTTATTGAACTCCCTAAATGACAGGATATGGAAACAAAAAGTAAACTTCTTTAGCAAAGGAAAACTTATACAAATTCTTCCTCATATATCTGTACATACTACAGTAGGCCACAAAGATATATAACCCGATCAAAAGATATCAGACTAAGTTCCTTGTTATACTAGTTTGTTATAGGTTATATTATCATGGAAATATGCTGGTTTTGTTTACCTTTTATGTGTGATTTAAAAAACCAGTTTTCTATCCTTTTACTATTCAGGCCTTAACAAAATTCCAGTATTTATTAATCTCATTTCAAATTTTTTTCCTATTTTTTATTTTAAACTTCTCTTAAGGAGCTATATTTAACTATATTTAGAGCTCCAGTTGGGATGTATCTTTTAAAATTCAATTCTGTCTCTCTCTCCCTCCCTCGCCTTTTCTTTCTCCCTCTTTCTGCTCTGCTGTACCACCCTGGATGTGCCTGATGCCATCTCTCTCTTTCTGTATCTCATACCTAAAGAAACATATCCATAAAATAGTTAAGAAATTTCCTTATCATATGTTAGCCAGTTTTGTTATTATAGTGTCTAAATTTGAGTACCGATTCCTTTTATTGATTCATCGGTGTTTACTTCCAGAGGGTGGAGACAGATTGATTCACAATATAGTTCCTTTTTTATCACTTCTTGTTGGCTAAAGACAAGATTTACAAGGTCCGTTATCAATGTTTAATAAAACCTCTAGCATCATTTTAACTTTAAAAAAAAAGTCTAACTCCATTCCAAGCCCCCCATAAAGACCCTTTGTTATGTAAAAGGTTTACTTAGATTTTTTTCCTAACCATCATATAATTATCATACATTGCTCATTATGTTGATATTATTATTAATCTTTCATTTTGATATTGATTTTCTGTGCTATGCTTAAAATCCTGTAGACCGACCTCTTTTCTAATACAAAAGCTCAAGAAGAACAGAAGAAAAGTGTGGAAGTGAAGAAAGGACACTGCTCCCTCCCGAAGTCTGTGGCTGTCACATATTCTTTATTCCAAGAAAAGAAGATGTCTTTGGTAAGAGTTCTTTCAAGTTACAGAGAAGTTTCTAGTTTATTCAAACTTGTGTTTTATCACCTTTTCCGTATTAAAGCTGTGACTTGGGATAAGTTTCTTTTAACTTGTAAAAAGTCACATTTTATCTTTACTCTTGAAACAGAATGCCATTTTCTTTTTCCATTAAGCCTGTCTCTGTAGTTGAGTAGCAACAGCCATAATAGCTTCGCCATGATTTTCATACAGAGGTAGTATCAAAGTTATAAATACATTTATAGCTCAGAGATCCCGCAGCAGTGGTATTTTAAGCCTTTTTAAAAATGGGATTAGTATTTAACAGTACATGTATATATCCTCTTTAGAAGCAATCTCCTAGGACTGGGATGTAGCTTACTGGTAGAGAGCATGTGTGAGGTCGTGGGTTCCATCCGCAGCACTACCGAAAACAAACAATAAACAATCTTCAAGAATGAGGTGAGAATGAGCCCTCCAAAGCCACATGCTGCTGCACCCCTGCTCAGAACCTGTGAGGCCACCATGCCCAAGGAAAGACTGAAGAGAACCCCAAAGGAGATAAAGCCCAGGTGAAGGATGAGCCACAGAAAAGACCCACGAGGCTGCTTGCTAAACCTCCTCCTTCAACAGAAGAGGCCAAGCCCCCGAAGGTCCCTTTAAAGAAGAGAGAGAAGGTACCCAAAGGGAAAGAGGGAAAAGGATAGGACAACCCTGCAGAAGACAGAGAGGCCCAGACAGATCAGGCACACAAAGCAGAAGGGGCTGGAGGTGCCAAGTGAAGTGTGTGCATTTTTGATAACTGTGCTTCTGGTACCTGCACAGTCTGAAATACTATTTTTTAATCAAGTTTTATAAATGCAGAATTTTTTTAAAGCTCTTGTTACCACGCAGTACCCTTTTGGGCAAGGAGCATAGGTCACTAATACCACATCTTCCAAGCTGGGTTGATGTGGGGAAAACACCCTTCCTTGCTAGTTTTGAGAGACTCCCAGGAAAAGGGATTCCCTGATGTTTACACATGTGGCCACCTTGGCACAAGTGCCTTGTGCTATGGGAAAACCAACTCATATATATGTCCTCCTCACCTTCTCTGCCATCTGCATAGACTTACCTCCCTTAAGCCAGAGCCCTACTGAGACCTTATTGGGTTGACAGCCTGACCACCAGTTAACTAACTTGGTTGATTCCTGATCGACTGGTTGGGGTACAGCAGGGGATGAAAGAAGAATGTACAAAGAACAAGGAATAAAGAATAATAAATGAATGATAGTTTATTGCTTGAGGGGCTGGGAATTGATCTTTAGCTTGCTCCTGGCTAAAGACAACCTGATCTTACCTCTATCCTGGCTAAGACCTGATCTTTGGATTAGTCAGTATTTATGGTTACACAGTACATCAAGGGGCATAAAGGCAGATATAGGGAATAGCAAAACTAATGCACTAATGAGCCAGGCTTGGAAAAGGGTATTAACTATGTGTACTTGTGAAGGACTGATCACAGTTAACAAGTTGTACTATCTTTCTGATTGCAGCTAGCAAGCCACCTGTGTTATCTTTAGCTAATGTTTGATCTTGGAGTATGGCTGCACAGCATAATAATTCCTCAGCTGTAATGTTTTCTTGCTATTAGAGATGTTACAATTTCATCAGTCATTGCAGTCTCAGTTGTGACCATTGGCATAGGGAAGTCTGACTCCATACACCAGCGGAAGCATCAATTAGCAATTCACACTTGGGCCTTGGAATGACTCATACTTGTAATCAATAGCTGAATTCATAAGCCAATTAAGTAATATCTAAAGCTTGCTCATTGTGGTTTCAGCTGGTCTCCTGCAGGACCTGACTCCCCTAAATTGGTGTTTTTAGTATGTCAGGCAGTCTGGACTTGCCAGTGACATTGAGATGGTGTCCCACAAGAACAATAGTTCCTTTTCTAGACTGTGCATCTTCAGATTGATAATTCTTCCATTTCCATTTCATTTCCTGAAGGTCAGGGTTGACTTGTGAAAAGTTATTAAACAATATGCTAAGTGTGAAATGTCCATCCTCCCTCTAAACTTTCTCTATTGAGAGCATCAAATGAAGACTTTATTGAGTTTTATAGTGGCTTTTTGATTTTTGGTCATCCATCCAAGAAGGAAGTTTGAAAGTTGTGCACTGTTAATGATTGTGAGCTCATGTCCTGCCTGAAACACCATGACTACTTATGAATAAGTATCTTTAATAAAGCTGGGTAGTTTGGCCTGGAAAAAAAAATTCAAGCCTCATTAAGTTTTAAAAAAGGGTAAAAAACAAACATGTTTGTTTGTGTGTGTGTGTGTGTGTGTATTGTACTTTTATATTCCTCAGCTTTGTATATGTCTAAAAATGCATACAGGATTTCTGGAAGGATATCCAAAAAGCTGGAAATAAGTGTTTTAAAAATTCTCTGTATCTGCCAGCACTAATTTTTTTTTTCAAACTATGCCAGATGCTCTTTGCAAAACAAAAAACAAAACAAAGCAAAACAAACTATTGTTAGAAAGAGGTTCTTCATTGCTCTAACACATATCCTTAACTTTGTTGAAGTTTGATTTTTTTTTCTTTTTTGGTATAGAAAGTGGAGATAAGTCTATAGCTTATTTTGTTTACTAGTGTAACTAGATAGTCAAGTTCCTTAATTAAAAGTACAGAAGCCATTACTCAAGGAACCAAATAATTCCATTGTGCTAGTTGAATTCTTACGTAAACACTAACTTACATGTAGATATTTTTAAAAGCCTTTATACATGATTAGAACTGTTATTATCAAAAAGTTTGATATGAACTCTGAATTTTCTGAGTAATATGTATTCTAATCTTAGTCATATGTAGTTCCACATATTATATTACATATTCATGATTAAAGATGCAAAGAATAATGTATCATCAGTTTTGTCTTTTGGCATTATTTGGTAATATTTTATTTTGTGATAGGATGGTTAATTATCTTTACCTCTCTAGAGTCTGATAGGGTCTTGCCAATTAACCACAAAATTAAACATGCCTAAGGACTTATTAATCAGGGGCAATAATATAATTAGGTTGAAGTAATTTGATGCCTGGTATCAAATAACCCTGATATTATGCACACATGGTGCACACTTTCTAGTAGAAAATGGTAGACATTTAATAAAGGTGATTTAATGTCTATTCTCATCTGAAAGATGAAAATATTGCCTTACACGATCTATTCTGTGAAAGTATCAGCATTCACACAAATTCAGTCTAAGTTCAGACTTTCAAAATATATTGCAAGAGTATCATGAAATATTTTAGATTTGCACTAAATGCTCAGAATGTTTTACCTAATACAGATCTTAAATTTGGAGTCACAGTTGTTTAAAAAGCTGTAAAATATGAAACATTATTCTAAATTAAACATTAAGTTCAATAATAGGACAGTCATGACAGCCCTTGTTAAAAGTGTAGTTATTATTTTCTGAATAGAAACAACTTAAAACACCTATCAAAGTCTTTCAAGACCCTTTTATAGTATGCATCTGGAGCCTTATGTCATCACTACACGTTTTAGAACTTGTCTCCTTGGAAACTCACATAACCAAAGCACCATGTATTATTTCAAACATGCAGACTATTAGAATACAGTTTTCTGTATTTCCCAAACGTTAGATTCCAAAGCTGTTAGAGGTACATAGAATAATCTCTGTCACTTAAAGGTTTGCAAAGTGAATGGAGAGGAGTGAGGATTGAACGCTTGTCTAATGTTGGGTGCTTTTGTTCTAGTCAGTCTAACATGGATAAAAAGTAGAACCTGTGGAGGCCTTTAGTATTTCAAACACAAATCTTAGGTGCAGTTTAGCCTGTTGTTTTGTTCTCGGTGAATATTTACTTCCTGAGGTTTTGGTTATTTTTGTTCCATGAAGTACAGTGGAAACAGAAAGCTCACTGGTTCTTTTGCTATTGTTTCTCTAGGACAGCATAGCCGAGAACAGGATTCTGCCTCTTACAGCAGTTGGCGTGCACTTAGCCCAAGCAGTGAAAGCTGGCTACTCCCTGGATATGGAGCGGGCAGGGCTGACTCCAGAGATTCAGAAGATTATTGCTAATGTTATCCGAAACCCTCCCGTCAACTCAGGTGAAGAGCAGCGTCTACCTGCAGCCTTAATGACTCAAGTCACTGAACCTAGATGAAGTAAACAAGCAATCAGCTAATGTTTTCCCCTTTAACAGTGTTGACCCTTTGTGCTGCTTTGAAAACCTTACTTTTTTTTTTTTTAGTCTATTGGTTTGAGAAAAACAATCTTTCCATTGTCACTCAGGGGAAAGAAGACTGAAAGTGATTTTTTTTTTTTTTTCCATTTTAGCTTCACATTACATCTTTCCTATCTCCAAACAGGGCACACTTACCCTTTTCTAATTTCTACTTAATCATATGCAAAAAAACACTTTTTTCTGTATATTCATTCCCAGCAGCTTACTGACTGCCCATTTTCCCCTACCTTTTTTGATTCCTTTTTGATAGTTTCACTTGAGTGCCCTCTCTAATCAACATGGCCTATTGGGATATGGGCAAGAGGCCGAGCTCTGTAGCCCTTGGAGAAGGGTTTTCTTTTGGCCCTGTACTGCAGAACCTCTACTGTGCTCATCAAGGTTAATGAAGCCCTTTCATTACTGCAGAAGTTTTTTTTGTTTTAATTTTGAGACAAGGTCCAAGTTGCCTAGGCTGTGCTTGAACTTGAGATCCTTCTGCCTCAGCCTCCCAGAATATTGGGATTACAGGCATGTGCTATCTTGTTTGTCCTGCAGAAATTTTTAAGTAGTGATCCATCTTTTACAGTACAGTTGAAATATATTAGGGGGTTTTCTCCTTAAATTCAAAAATGTAAACTTAGTGCATTATAATGTAATAAATCTGCTACATATTTTCAGGCTATAGGACAGAGCAATGGCCTTTAAAAAAGCTTTCTCTTTAAGCTGTATTAATAATTACTATTTAGTGACTCATATTTTTAACCACATGGGAGCAACTGTAACATTCTCCCCAAGAATTTGGAAAATAAGGGAAATAAGCTCACTTCCTGAAATCACAGGCAATTCTGTACTGATCAGAACAAAAGTAAGCCACCATAAAAGCAGCATTATTTCTAGGCTTGTTCGCAACTTGACTGAATGTGTAAAGCACAGGCACCTCCACTACTTCTGTTTATCAACAGTGGAGGCACAGGAGAAGGAGAGACACAGGCGACTTGGGTGTCACTCATCCAAGATCCAGGTGTAGGAGTGAGGGCCACTGAGATTTCAGCTGTGTTAAATCCTGTGGCTGTTATGTTGTGACCCTATTTGAGAAAGACTCTTAACAACTGATTTTTCTATGTTTTGTCCTGGCTTTCTGGTTATTATTTGATTTCCCATGTATGTCTATATGGAAAGCATGCTATAGTCGTGCTCATTTGAATATATGATGATTGTGCATGCATAACTTTGTGAACTTGGTCAGTGTGATCTGCTAAGGTTAAACCAGGTTTCTGAGTGTGAAAACCAAAGGGCCAAGTCCTGGACTATGTAGTTAAATATCCAGGGTAATTTAGCTGTCAGTCATCTTATGAGAAAATCAGCTCTTCTGGCCACATTCCAGTCTAACATCAGCAGCCTTTTGTAGAAATTAGAGCAGAAGGAGGGAGATAGTAATGACTTTGTAGGACTAGATTATGGTTTTATAAACCTGTTTCTCCAATGCAAAATAACACATTGTTTCAGGGGAAGTCAAAGATTCAAATGCCTTCTAGGTTTTAATACTCTGGAATTATTTTTTCCATTATAAATGTCTGTCTCTTAGGACTCAGAGAATATATATCTTTTGACAAGATGTTGAGCAGTAGGCAATATTCTCCAAAAGAGTTTGTGCAGCTTTTTCCTTTTTTTAAAAAATATTGACAATCATGTTTGCTGTCATTTGGCTGCCTTTCTTAAACTCTGAAGGCTGACAGATGGTGTCGGCCTCATCAGTAAGAGCGAAGGCACTGGCAATAGATAGATCTGTGTTCCATTCTTGGCCCTACCATTGTATAGTTAATGTGACCATTGGCACGTGATGCTCATCTCCCTGTGTCTTGTTTCCTTCCCTCTAAAATGAGGAAGGATAATATTCCTGTTATAAAATTGTGAGAAATGAGTTAGATACTACACAGAAGGCCTTGGTGCATGGTAGATAGTTGATAAATGGTGGTGGTGAAAGATGGTGATTGAAGAAGTAGATCTTATAGCCTCTTAAAAATACCTTTAAAATATGATTACTTTTATTCTCATTTCAAATAGCTAGTTAAGGATATATGAAGTTAATAAATAAGCATATTAGGAGGGAGATTTCAAAACGTGCACATTGCTCCCTTGGTATATGTGGGGTGATCAGTTTCATGACATCCTCCCTTCTCCCCCACTGTAGATAGTAAAATCTGTGGATACTGAAATCCCTTTTATAAGATATTATAGTATTTTTATGTAACACACATACATCTTCTGTACACTTTAAATTATCTCTAGATTACATGTAAATTACATACAGTATAAATGCTATATAAATTGTTATTCTGAAATATTTATGAAATGACAGTAAAAGTATGTATGTGTTCCATACAGATATAAATTTTTAAAAACAATTTTAATCTGTGGTTAGTGACACCAGGATATAGAACCGATAGATGTGGAAAAATTGTGGCAGGTATAATGTTCCTTTTGTATGTGTACTTGTACTGAAGAACTCCTGTGCATTGTTCCTGCATGAACATACAATGAGTGTTCTAGTCTCAGTTCATTACTGGCAGAGGGAAATGGTAGAAAAAGATTTAAGATTGTTTTATTCAGCCAGATATTGACAATATCTATTTTATTTGACTATGGTAAAGGATAGAAGTGTTGTTAATTTCATATATAAGTCATATAGTCATAAAGTTATGGAGCTTTAGAGTTTAAAAAGAAATTGGAAACATTAAATTTTCTCTTTCCTTGTTCAGCGAGGCCTAGAAAGTTGCAAAACTGTTTTAATATCATGTCTAAGGTTAATGACAAAAATGTTCTTTGTACTGTACCTTGTTTGAGTTGTGCTGCCAGTTAACTTGGAGGGAATATATAATTTATAGTTCTGATACAGGATTTAGGTTTATAAATCTGTAACTGGATGAATAAATTAATTATATTCAGTGTAATATCTTCTAGTATCCATCAAGACTACCACCGTATCTAGTGTCTAGTACATAGCTAATACAGTGGACCCTTGACTTACAAACTTGATCTGTTCATGAGGGCTGGTTGTAACTCAAGTTGATTGTAAGTCAATACAGCTGACGTCTCGATGTTTACCTGGGTACACACTATAGAAAGAAGCAGATCAATCTTCCATTAACCTAGTTAACCCAGGTTTTTCATGTGTCAGGCCGGTCATAACTTGAGGGTCCACTGTACTCGATACATTATGAGTTTAGCAGTTTCTATGATGTTAGATAACTTCTAAATTAGGAAATATGAAAGTGAAACAGAAGAAATAAAGATGAAAAATATATTGTAATTAAATCATTCAACAAATATTGGAGAGATGAAAAAATATTTCATAATCAGACATTAATAGAACATTTGTCTTTATCACCATACAGAAAGTATATATATTAAGTAAATTTCCAGAAATAAATATTAAATTGAAATTGCAAGAAAAGCAGTGTATTTTAAAATATACTTATTAATATTTTCTGTTAATACATTATATTTAGTTAGAGCATAAAATATTAAAACGTGCATTTTTTTGGTAGCATGCTTCCCAAGCAAAAATAGTTGAAGTTAAAATGGTGGTGGTAACAATGAGCTCTTACTTCTTTTGATAGTACCTTTTTATCTCTAAGATATCAGCTACTGAGGTGAGATTTTGCTTTTGAATTGTTTTTATTTGGTAAAATAGTATCTGTTCTCCTGAGAAAATATCAAGCTTATTAAAATATGAGAAAGAAGATATATACTATTTTAATGATGCAAATGTTATTTTCATCTTTAACTGTAGCCTTATCACAGTTCGTTTTTTTTTAATGAACAAATTTGATTGATAGCTAAATTTTGCACAATACCGAATTGAGACATTTTCTATGTTATAGCATAATCCTTACCTATGATAGTATGGATTTAAAAAAAATTGATTTGCAAACATTATATTTAAAGCATAAGAAATTAAGGCTGTATAATATATCTAATTTTAATAACCTACTGAAGAAACTGAATATAGTACATTACTAGTTGATCAGAATATGGAAATTTTTTATGGTTTTATAGAAAAGAACTGTGCAATAGAGATATAATGTAAGCCACAAATCCACTTTAAATTTTCTAGCAGCCATGTTTAAAAAAACTAAACCATTTCAATTAATTTTAATAAAATCTAATTAACTTGGTATACTTAAAATTTTATCATCTGAGCATTTAACCAGTATAAAAATTAGCAAGGTATTTCATGTATTTTTTCTGTAATAAACCTTTGAAATTAGGTATTATATATTTATAAAATATGTTCTGGTGCAAAAGTTAATAATATGTATTTAGCTTTCATAAAATTTACAGTTGGACAAAGTATATTGGCATTGTCAAGTTGTTCCAAAATATTTAAAATTATCTCAGTAAGTGAATTATCAGTGTTTAAATTTAATTTTGAATTAATATGAAATACTTTAATTTTAGAATTCAGTTTTTCGTCCTCACCTACATTTTAAATGCTCAACAGCAATATGTGGTAAGTAGTTACTGTATTGGAAACGTAATTCTAGAGATAGTTTGGCAATGTATACCAAAGTACAACTTATATCTAATTTTTGAACTATTAATCCCACTTCTGGGAATCTAGAAGTATGGAAAGATGTATGTAATGTAATGTTCCTCAGAACATCTGAAAAAAGACAAATGGAAGTAAATACAGAGTAAATCATAATACATAACACAGAAAAGAATATTCCTTATCCATTAAAAATTGATATAGTAAAATTGGGATTTCCATGGTAGTATGACTACATATTGACCAACAGACAAGTAAAATGTTAATTTGGTTGCAATTTAAGGTGATCACAGCCAGGTGTGTGGAGGTGCACACCTGTACTTCCAGTGCTCAGGTGGCTGAGGCAGGAGGATTGCTATGTGTTGGAGGCCAGCCTACAGCAAGAACAAAACAACACCAACAACCAGATAGTCACATTGTTGACTCTATTACATGTAGAGTTGATTTGTCCTTTCTTACTATGCTTATCACGAGTCTTGAATTTTAAAACTTTAAAGTGCTTAGATAACCCACTGTCCTACTTTGTCTTAGCTGTGTAACTGCCTCTCCTTTAGAAAAAAAGAACAAAACACTGCAGTGTTTTAGTGAATTACTAGACTATCAAGCTAAGACATTGCAATAATAATTTAAAATCAACTTTTTAGGGTGGCATTCTAAAAAGCACTATACTGGATTCTGACCACAAAGCTGTGTCAGAAATGTTTGATATGTTTCACAGTTTACACAAAGATGAATGTGTTCTAGTTGCTTAGTTTTAAAGTACTTTAGAGCATTGTACATAAATACAGTGGTATATTGGTTCACAAACTTAATTCCTTTCACGATGCTAGAAAAGATGGCTACGTTCATGTTCATACCCATGCAGGGTGTGCAAACAAAAACAACATTTTGTTGAACCGAGTGTATAATGTTGGAAGAAAGTGGTTGAGACTGTTTTATTTGTAAGAGATTGCCACATAATTTGTAAAAGGTGCGATGATATTGACACAATTTGAATTAATTATTTTAAGTTACAACAATTAATGGTTCCTTAATTCTGCAAATAAGACATATTTCCCCCAGAAAGATTAGATACTTAATCAACATTTAAAATAATTGATGTATTTTGTTATGCTATAACATCCACTGAAAGAACCATTTTGTTGGAATCTTATTTATAAGTATGATTAAGTTCTACTTTAATAATAAGTCATCTTTTAAGAAAAATTAATTTGTGGTTAATATTTGAAGTTTGAAGCACTTTCCTTTAGAAACCAAAGGGTTGTTTTGATTCTTGGCAGCCTACAGAAGATAGCTTGAGACATAATTTTTGCAGACTCCTAAGTTCACCTGTCTTGGAGTCAAGGGGTTCAGATAATGCAGAAGTGAGGAGCATATCATATGCTTGTATTCTGTTTCAGTTCTGTAGAGCTGTTGGTTTTGAGGAAAATCATCTCTGGCAACCTTTTTTCCTTTTTACAAAATATTTTATTTCCCCCTCATTGGTTTTCTGAAATGCTCTGCATGACTAGTTTTAAAAATCATTTTTTCATCTTTTACAGATATGAGTAAAATTAAACTGATTAGAATGTTAGTTCCTGAAAACATTGACACATACCTTATCCACATGGTAATTGAGATACTTGAAAGTGATCACGACAGCAGACTGTTATGCCAGCCTTCCTGTGATTCCAGCAAAAAGAGATGTTTCCCCAACTCTGAGGAGAGCTGTTCAAGTTTGAAAAGAAGCAAGGAAGAGGTAGGCACTAAGGCCAACGTGTTAATTATTTGCCGAATTTTCATAGTGTTGGTTTGTTTAGTTTGCAAGTTCTAATGCTAAAATGCTGTGTTTTTTAAAGTGTTATAAATTCTAATATAAAGTTATTTCTTTTTATGTGTGCTATATTTCCTTTGCTTTTCATTATATGATCTGAGAAAAATGATTAAAAAAAAACAGTAAAAGGAGAAAATACTGCATCTGTTTATTGTATGGAATGGCAGCTGAAATTTTACCTGTTTTGGCTTCAGAGCCAAGAAATTCTTTTTGTTTTCATAAATGTAGTTAATAGGTTTAAGCAGAAGGAAATTTATATTGTTAATGGAAACAGACTGGTTTATGGATCATTCTGTCAATCATCATTCTCCACTGCTCTTATATTAAATATATATGATACAAAGATAATTGTTGCTCGTTATTCTGAGCATTCTACAATTCTTTTGCAAAAATCAGAGAAAGGCTATAAATGTAGTAATATTTTAAGTGGTATATTAAAATCAAGTGCTTGGAAAATTATAGTTCAGTGAATTATATGAGATAAATAATTATGGAAGAATAATTATTCTTTGTCAAGATGACTCCATTAAAATGGTTGTGTAAATTTGAAAATTCGACCATTAGTATCTTCCAAGTCTAAAATTACATGACTGCTTGATTAAAAACTCTAGTTTATGTAGGGAAGGTGTGATACGTAGGGGAAGAACAAAAAGGGAAAAGAAAAAAATGTGAGAGAATGAAAAGATGAAAATAAAGTGTTTGTAGATGGGGAGGGGAGGAGGGGGTGAAGGGAGGGCAGAGGTAAGGGGAAAAAAATGAGAATCAAGACTTGCCATGTAAAGGTACATGATCCCAACAATGAATGTAACTGTACTGTATCCCTAAATGTACCAATAAACTCAATTAAAAAAAAACAAAAAAACAAAAAAACTCTATTTTAGTTCTAATGCAAGAAGACTGTGTCTTGGCATTGGTAATTGTGATTCAACATGTGTAGGAACACAGTTGGTTCTTTATAGTGTTTTTTTTTAATTCGGAAAGTTTTCTTAAATTATGGTTTTAAAATTTATTTCTAGAAAGTTCTTACTAATTACTCTTTTTGTTCTATTGCTTTTTATTCCTTTTTTCAAGGACTTCTATCTTTATGCTGGGTCTTCCTTATACAAAACTTCACTATTTGTCACTTAAGTCTTCATTGCTCATGAATAATTTTTTTTGTGTGTGTGTGGTCGCCCTGGGAATGGAACCCCCTGGGCTACGTGTGTACGAGGCAAGCACTCAACCAACAAGCTATAACCTCAGCTCCTCTTTATTTGCCTTTACCTTGAAATTTTTTTATCTTGTATTTTTCTTTGGACATAATCTTTTGTATTATTGCTTTTTTTTTTTGTAGTGAAGTGCTCCCTCCTTTATTTCTTCTTCTTCACTTTTTTTCTGATTCTTGCCTGAGTCTCCCTCAGTTTTGAATTTTCTTTTTACTTATGGCATTCTTTTGTGTTTAGAATAACTTTTAAAAATGTTTTCAGCTCATTTTGAAAAGTTGCAGTTTTAGGCAGGTGTGGTAGCACATGCTTGTAGTCCCATCACTTGGGAGGCCAAAGCAGGAGGATCACCACGGGCAGCTAGGACAACTTAGTTCAAGGCCAGTCTGAGCTACATAGCAAGATCATGTTTCAAACAAAATAAAACAAAGCAGTTTCAGTTTTATTCTAACTTTAACAAGTCTTTCTGGTGTGAGGTGTGACCTTGATACTTGTTGATTGCTTGTTTTCATGTAAAACTAGTTTTCTTATGCTTTCACAAGAAGGCAGGGTCAGGATAGCTTTCCTAATTTCATACAGTTCTCTTTGATGTTTTTGTGTAATGTTTAAAATATGAAAACTTGAGGGCTGGGGCTTTAGCCCAGTGGTACAGCGCCTGCCTAGCAAGTATGAGGTCCTGAGTTTGATCCCTGGTTCCAAAAAAAAAAAAAAAAAAAAAAAAAAAAAAAAAAAAAAAAAAGAGCGACACATCACATGTTTACTGGGGTTTCTTTTCTGTTTGTGTCTCTTGTACCTGTCCTACTTGACTTAGATTTAACCCCAGCGGTATCTCCTGAGTGTCAGGCCTCCTTCTGGAAGGCAGCCTTGGCTGGTCAGAGTTCATTGGAGCTAGCTGCCCTAGCTGACACTTAGCGGGAACTTCTTAACACCTCTTGCTGTTGGGGTGGTCAGAAGCCCTCCCATGTTCACATGCTCTTTCATATTACTCCCTGAGGCCTTCTGTAGTCTATCTGTGGGCTCTTTTGGGGTTCTCTAAAGTTTGCACATACCTCATTGCTTGCTGCTGTTTTCCTCCCATACGGATGTGCTTACCATGAAAGGGTTAATTGGTGCTTTGTTCTTGCTTGCGTATAATTTGGCTTTCCTGACACCTACACATTTTGCTTCATTGTAAATATAGCAGATGAGTTTGAGTTTTGCTGTCTAATTCTGTTTCATTTCTGGGATTCATAAATATTTAAAAACTATCGTGGCCGCCACTATCTTACCAGTACCTTCTCCTATATCACTTGGGTCCATAATGTTAAGTGAAATAAATTAGACACACAATTTAAATATTGAATAGTTTCTCTTGTATGAGAAACCCAAAATACAAATAAAGAGCAAAATAAAAGATAGATAATAGAAAGTAGGGAGATAGCTCTTGTTTTCTAATGGAAAGGATTTGGGAGTGAGGGAAGAATTGAGATGTATTGTTTTTTTCTCTCATTGAGTTTATTGGTACATTTTAGGTATACAGTACAGTTACATTCATCATTAGGATCTTATACCTTTACCTGACAGGTCTTGGTTCTCATTTTTTCCCCTTGTCCCTGCCCTCCTTTCACCCTTTCCTCCCCTCCCCATTTACAAACACTTTATTTCCATTTTTTCATTTTCTCATATTTTTTTCTTTTCCCTTATTACCTTTCCCCTACCCTTCCCACCTTCCCTACACCTTTAGCCCTTTTCTTCCTATTTCACATTGTCAATTATCTCATTAAGATGTTATGTACCATTATAGTTTTTCACACCAGAGAAACTATTCGGTATTTACACGTGTGTGACTTATTTATTTCACTTAGGAGTATATCCTCAATATGTATCCATTTTCCTACGAATGAATCTAATATCTCATTCTTCATGGCTGAGTAGTTAGTATTCCATTTTATAGAAAAACCACATCTTTTTTATCCAGTCTCCAACTGATGGGCAAATGGGCTGTTTCCAAGTTTTAGCTATTACAAATTGTGCTGCTATAAACATAGGTGTGCATATATCACTGTGATATGATTCTTTTAATTTTTTTGGAAAGACACCCAGCAGAGGGATGTCTGGGTCAAATGGAACCTCTAGTCCCAGCGTTTTGAGTTATCACCATATTGATTTCCATAGTGGTCGCACCAGTCTGCACTCCCACCAACAATGGAGAAGGGTTCCTTTCTCCCCACAACCCCGCCAACATTTGTTATTGTGTGATTTCTTGATAGCAGCCATTCTTTGTGCGTTGAGGTGGAATCTCAGTGTTGTTTTCATCTGCATCTCTGAAATGACCAGTGATGTGGAACATTTTTTCATATATTTACTTGCTGCTTTTACTTCTTTGTCTGAGAAATGTCTGTTCATTTCAGGTGCCCATTTTTGAATTGGGTCTTTATATTTGGGGGGGCTGATTGTTTTGAATTCTTTATATAGTCTTAATAAGAGCCCTTTTTCTGAGGAGCAGCTAGTAAAAATTTTTTTTACATATTGTAGCTTGTCTTTTAGTTTTGAGATGTATTTTGTACATGTACCAACTTCCCACAAGAACTGTGGTCATTAAGTACCACAAACATGTACTAATAAAAAGTAAAAATGGGAAAAAAGAGAAAAGTACAAGGTCTAACTATTTTGCATTCTGTAAAACTTTTATAGGTTGATCAAAAACATCTTGATAATTTTTCACTCAAAGACAAAGGTTACAGAAATTCATTAAACCTAGCTTCTTGGAATCAGCCACCTGATGATCCAGAACTGGAGGATTTATTTTCCGATTCTCATTCACAGGTAAAAGTTATGAAAATAGTTTTGATGATAAGTGTATCAGGCTTGATAATTAATAATTTTCATTTTTTAGTTACAGGTGAAATTAAATGTGAATATGTTACATATTTGTATGTAGGTATATACATGTACATATCGGGAAATGAGTTAATGTTTTCTATTCACAATTTATCAATAATAGCTTTGTAATATAATTTGAAGTTTCCTGAAGTGGTAAATAGCCACTTAAAATGTTATTATGATTGCTGGGAATTTAGTGTTCTATTGATGAAGGAAATCGATACTAGAAGACATTATTTCTATGTGGTAACCTAAACCTCATGATTAAGGTCTCTTCAGATACTTACTGTAGAGACTCAAATATACACAGTATAAATATTCTCCACTTTGTGAAATAAGACTACTATAATTGTAGGGTAAAAACTGAGGAGTATATTGTGTATAATATAGGAAATAAGACTTTAATGGCATTTGCTACAAGTTAATGAGTAACAAGAATAATCAGGACGTTTTTGATATTCTGTGCATATTCTTATTTAACTCCAAATAATTCGATGAGTTATATAGTATTATTCCCATTTTCTGTGTAAAGAAATTAAGGATTAACATGCATAAGATCACACATTTAGTAGGTGGTTCATTAGAATTCAAAACTAGCTCTTTCTTCTTTTAAAGTTCATCTTTTTTCCATGACATTAGACTTCCATAAGACTAGGCATTTCTCACTGTTTTATTACTGTCAGGTGTCTCAGTGTATTTTACTCTTTCTCTTTATTGCAATTTTATCTCCCTCCCCATGCACCTTTAAATGCATTCAGGGGTTCAGACTCTATTTGCAGCAGCTGTATTTGTCTGTGACTACAAGGTTTTTCATACTAAGATCTTTTGAGAAGAGTAAATATTGCTGACTTTTTGGTGGGGGGTTGAACCAAGGGCCTTGTGCAAGCAAACACATTCTCTGTCACTGAGCTGCACTCTGGCTCTGGACCCATTTTTTTCCTCTCACAAAATGCTTTTCCACTATGCCACTTTATATCTGTAACGTGTTATTTCCTAGTCCATGTTATAGTATCTTTCAGTTATATAAATCTCATTCATTCTCCTAGTATTCTCTTCCCTGCTTGAAAATAGGTATCCAGGAACAAAGTCGCCATACCTTAGTTATTTCTTTTTTCTAGCAATAATGTAAGTAGCCTTTTCTTCTACATTAGATTTCTTTACTTAAGCTGGAGCACCTAAGAGTTCTTACCTTTTTCAGATAAAAAATTTTATTCTTCTGCCAAGAATCTTTTGCTTTTTTTCTTACCCTTAAATATTCTAAAACATTTAACATAGAAATCATAATAAAACATATCAAGCAATTGATTAACACTAGATAGATAGATAGATAGATAGATGCCTCATTTTGAAATAAATTATACCATACTAATACCTTAGGCTAACAGTTACAGTGTAACTTAGATAAGATTATCCTATTATGTATTATAAAAGTCTTCAACTATTTCCAATAACTGCTAGATTCCAAGGAGTGATAACGTTAGAATAATTTCTGTCAGGTTATTCTGAGGATCTAGTACTGAAACTAAGTTCTCAATTTTATGCCATGATAGGTTTATGCAACACTTACCTACTTAAACTTATTTCATATTTTTCATTTGCTTATGGTACAGTACCCGAATACTGCCTTTTTGTTCACAAGTCCCCCCACCACCCAGGGACTTTCAGCTAAGATTCAGAGGCTTTTTTGGTGCATGAGCCTGTGAAATTGTGTGCAAATTGTTGTACATTTATATATTTGTCCTTTTCTCTGGGAAGTGGATCTGTGATTGGCAGCAAATTCTCAAAGGAGTCTGTCAGACAAGAAATGTTTTTGTATTCCCATTAATTCATTTTCCATTTATTCCATTTGTGAGCTGTTCGTTTGTTTTTTGAGCACATTCTATGTCTTGACCAGTCTGCAAGGTGCTGATTATTACTGGGCCACTCCCGTGGTCTATCTACTATTGTCGACATTAGACATTTTGTTGTTTTTTAGATGTCGAATATAATTAATATTGACTGCGCCTTTGTCCTCCTCAGAACATTAAATTCAGCATTCTTTAGTAACTAAAAACACATACACATGGGATGTAGATGTGAAATAATGTCCAATTTTTAACTCACCAAATGAAGATCTGGACTTGAGTGTCCAAAATGGGTGCAATGGAAATTAATTGCCTAAATAGATGATAGAGTGATTTCTTTACTCTCTCATTGATTAACTTTTTGACCTGGAAGTAAATTCTGTAGATGTAACTGCAGTGGATCCTTGACTTACTTATTCAATTCATTCACAAGAGCTGGTTGTGATTTAAGTTGGTCATTTGAAGGCTCAGGCTCCTCTACACAGGCCTTCAAAGTCTCTCTCCTGTGTACAGGCAATCTCAGTGTCCTTAGAGAAACTGGCCCAGAATTTTTCAACCCCACATAGGAAAGGATGTTGTAATGTTCCTTCCAAAACTCTTCGAGGGTCAAATCTATATCTGAGACTATTTGGAAGCACAAGCAGCCAGCATTCAGGTCATAACTCAATACTTTGTTTGTAAGTTAAAACAAAGTTTGGTCATAACCCAAGTTGTTCATATGTCAGGCCAGTCATACTCATGGGTCCACTGTATTTGTTTTGATTTGATGAAGAGGGTGTAAAGGGTGGGTGTATGTTTATGACATGGTAATTTTTTTCAGTGACAGATACATGTTACTTTGTTTGCAATTGATTTACATTTTCAGTAGGAAAAATACTTCTTTTTCTATTTTCTATAGATGTCATCTGCAACCTCAAAGAGAAACCTACCTGAGTGGTTTACCAAAGGAAATGAGACCATAGTTGATACAAGGAAGAAACCAGTGTCCACAACAAAAAAGAAAGGTCTTTTTAGTTAGGTTGGCAATTAACAGAACAGTTTTGTGTATCTTACTGTGGTATAAGAGCTGTATAAAAGTAGTAATATTTTATCTTAAAATTTATTTTATCCCTAAAGTAAACCTCATCTATATATTGAAGGACTAGCATCTTAAATCATCCTTCTGCAGTTCAGGTCAACTGTTTGGGTCTTCTAAAATCCTAAGTGATTATATCATGTAATCATAGAATATTAAATTAGATTTCCTTCACATTACTTTCAGGAACTATGTTGCTGCCCTGTTCTTTAATCAGTTTATTGCAAAAATATATTTGGAAAATATAATGTGTGGTAATTTAGTAAAAATAACAGATTGTGTGGTGATTGTGGGATATAAAATGTTCTTATGTTACCAAAATTTTGTCTTATACATGTAAGAAAGCATAGCTATTTTACAAATTTACCATCTTTCCAAAGCAGTCTTTATATGCGTTGCTGGATGTCTAGTAGCTGACAGATCAATGAAAATGAAGCAACATTTTGGGTTTCATTAAGTGGGGAAAGAGAATGTAATTAAAGAGCCTTCTAATTGCACTAGCAACTATGCAATTTGTATTTCTATACAAGTTCTACTCCTTTTCAAATAATAAAATAATGTCCCTCCTGCTGAATATTATAAAGTTGTGTGTAGTGTATTTTCACTTACTTAGTTCAAGTACCGTTATTATTAGAGGATGTCAGAATTTGATTCTACCACCTCTTACATAACACAAACAAATACATAAAACTCATACTCTGGTCTGGGGATTTAGCTCATTGGCACTGTGCCTGCCTTGTAAGTGAAAGGTCTTGAGTTTGATGCCCTATACTGGAAAAACAAAAAAACAAAAACTCATACTCTGACCTAGAACTGGATATATCGTGGTTATTACTTTAAGCAGTTTGCTATACAGTTTATACATTACAAAACATTTAATTAACTTTTCTGTAAATAAAACTAACTTGTTAATAAGGCAGAAATACAAATTTGTTCCAGAGAAATAAAACAACAACAGCAGCAACAAAACACTATAATCGCGCATAGTTCCTCTAGGGAGTAATCAGTCAACCCTTTGCGTGTCCTGTCAGATCTTCCCATATGCACTTGTTTTCTTAGTTTGTTACATTGAATTTTTATTGTAAAACATTCAAGCTATACTTAAAATGTAAAAGCCCTCCATCCTGTCATTTTTCTACAGCCTGTTGCCAGAAGGCAACACTTACTAATATAGTGCTGTACTTTCTTCTGCATTCCGGGGTCTTTGTTCATACATCTACGATGTGAGTGTTACTGTGATGTTGTCAGAAAGCACTTCCTGCATGCCACAGTGTGATGGTCATCTCCAGGGGAGTGCTGTTTTGATTGAATTGTGAACAGAACTGGATGCTTTTGTACATGGGATGCCATTTCTTTTGGAAAAAAAAAAAGATTGACAGAAAACTGCTTGGTTATTTAGAATTGGGTGTTTGACAGAAATTTTCTCAAGATTGAGCGAAGTTGTTCTTGTGCTTCAAGGAAAATATCTTATGGTATTTGTTGCCAATAATAAGAATATAAATTTCTAATTTATAATTTTGGAAAACTTGTATTTGTCACTAGGAACTTGGCAGCTTCCCTTAGCCTAAAAACTTTTCTGATGAACGAATATTTTCTGGATGACTAGTTCATGATGTTACACAACCATGCATGGATAAAAGATCTGTTGGAAGTGGAATACGAACCAGTGGATTTTAATTGTGGCAGAGTTCAGAAAAAGCTAATTGATGTGGTTTCAGATTATACACTGCAACTGATCTTTAAGAAGCCAATTACATACTTGTGTAAAGCCAGATTTCTTCACATACTTCAGGCAAAACAATACATCAAAGTAGATTGAATGCAGAAGTGGATCTGAGAATCCAGCCATTTCTGTTAAGCTCTTTGGGAGACCCAATAAATTGTAAAGGTAAAGAGGGGTTCTGTAACTAAGAGGCTGAGAGCTGCTGATTTTTAGTATAGTATTGTACTTTGAATTGTTTAAGTGATTTCATATTGGTGAACATTGAAGTTGCTTCCAGTTTTTTTTTTCTATTTTAAACAGCACTGCTTTGAACATTCTTGAAAGAACACAGTATAGTCTCATGCTGGATACCTAGCCAGAGGGAGAGAATCTTTTGTTTGCAGTAGGCTTTCTGCTTTCTCAGCATCAGTTCTCTTTCCCCATTTCCTATTTCTGTTGGTGTTGGTTGAAGAGGAATAGTTCCAACCTGATAGGGGACACTGACACCCTTGACCTCATCTAAGTAGTTTCTTGGCAGTAGCATTCAGATCTGGGATAGCACGTGGCCCGAGGTGTTACTGAAATGGTGGAGCAATTAGGTTCTCTTTTCCCCTGATGTCATTTGTGAGGAAATGGTGGTGTAGTTTTAGCCCGATGAAAACTCCTTTGGTGAAGCTGACAGGTATACAGAGAAGAACCGTGGAAAGAAATCACGCTACTGGTGATGTTGCTAACCTGTTCGTTGATGGCTTTCTTGAAATCAGCCCTGCCTTTGAATATTTCGGGTAAGTGAGGCATTAACTTCACTTTACTTTTGGTAAAACTGTTTGAATAAAGTTTTTTTTTGTTTTTAACTTCTACTGGTGTTTATCTGTCACAGCCATACAGTAATATACTGGTGTTTGGCAGAAAGACAACACAGAAAAAAGGAAGTTTCTTTATGGCAAAGGATATGGGGGGTCAGCCCTGCCTTTGAATATTTCGGGTAAGTGAGGCATTAACTTCACTTTACTTTTGGTAAAACTGTTTGAATAAAGTTTTTTTTTGTTTTTAACTTCTACTGGTGTTTATCTGTCACAGCCATACAGTAATATACTGGTGTTTGGCAGAAAGACAACACAGAAAAAAGGAAGTTTCTTTATGGCAAAGGATATGGGGGGGTAGGGAGAGAGGGAAAGACAAAGCAGCATGCTCCCAGGTGGGAGTATAGTCTTCCCAGATCTGCAGACTCTCCAGGAGTTTCCAGGGGCTTTGGATTTCCCCAGTGGCCCTCCCTCACTCTCTGCCGCCTGAGTGTGGTTTGGCAGCTTTGGCTACACCAACTGTAAATAATTGGTAGGAAATGACCTCAGCACTTTGCGTGCAGTAAGAATAGGTGGACTGAAGGATGATTCCCCAGTGTAGCATCATCTTTCAGCATCCCCAGGCCTCTAGTTTGCCTCATGTTTGTTCTGAAAAACAAGCATTTTCTTCTAGGGTATGGTTATTATGCGATTTCATCCAGAAAATATTAATTACTTTCTCTTCTGTATTATTTCATATTTGATCATAAAACTGGCCATAACATCACAAGAAGACCTGACAGTTACTTAGAATTAAACAAGAAAACAAACAAACAAAACTGTAGTGCCACCAATTGTTAGAATAAAAAAAGAATATAGAATCCTTCTTACTCAGATAGCCTAGAAGTAAGCAGGAAGGATACAGTGGAATGACCTTACAGTAACTTTAGAGCTAAGTAGACATTTAACCCTGATAGGAAACAGCAAAGTTCAAAACCACAAACCCACTTAAGATTAGTCCAGTTTGGGTGAGAGCTGCAGACTTTTAACAGCTGCTGCTCCCTGAGAAGGTATCCCCAAAATTTTGGTTGAGAAGGCAATCCAAAAATCAGGGTAGCATACTTTTTTTTTCCCCTTACTGGATAAATGTGTTTAAACCTTGAGGAAATTCAGAAATAAATAGACTGTAGAATAAACCTTTGGCAGTAATATTGTAGGATTAAGGGATAATATTTGATCCTTAAGTATTTGTAATGTTTGAGGTAATTTACCTTATTTGAGTAACATAAAATTTGACATGACTTCAATATCAAATATAGTGAAAATTAGTATATGCTTGGGATTAAATGGAATTTCTACAAAGTTTGAAACATTATTAGAATACTTAATGTGTTTATTTCTTATTGCATAGAAGTATTACCAATAAATTTCACTTGCAAGAGGAAGATGCACAAAGGTTACTATTAATATTAAAGTCAACATTAATAATTTATTAAATGAGGAGTTTTAATTCTCAAAAAAATTGATAAATTTTATCACATAGAGCTTCATTTTCTAACTCAATTTGCAAAAATTACTGAAAAGTATAAGTTCTTATGTCTTCATTCAGTAAACATTTGCAGGTATAGTATATAGCTCTGGTTGGCCTCATAAAAGATAATGGGGAAAGAAAATGCAACATGGGTCATATACTTAAGAGAGGGAAAGATCAATTCTGTGACAATCTTTAGAAAGTCTGACAAAGATGTTTCCACAGTACCAAAATATTTTTAAGAAAATACACAAGATGTAAGAAAAAAATGACTTGTGAAAGAAAAACTGGAAAAGGGGCAGCCATATGTCGAAGGAAGGCAGTAGGCGCTTCTTTGGGGTTGGGAAGAGCTAGGTCTAAAGGCCGTTCTTAAGGTGCAGAACCTATCGAAGGGGGCTGCTGATGGTGAGTGCATCCTAGTAGCAAGAACTCCATTGGTATGAGGCTAGGTCTGCTGAGAAACACCCCAACTAATGCACCTTATGTGTACACCTACACATTGCATGGATGCAGGTCAGCCAGGGAGCAGGCACTGTCAGAAGGAAGATCATGTGATCTTATTTTTCCTTCCCTGCTTTGGAATCCCAACTCCAAAGTGTAAGCGCATAGAGGAGGGAGGAGGCATGGGAGAGGCAAGTGAGACCTGCTGTTCCGCTTGACCTGGGGGGTTAAGGTGAGGAGAATTTGAATCAGGTATGTGATTAAGATGTAAGACTAAAATAATACTGTTCCGACCTCTCAAAGTGATGGAGAATTCTGGAATTGGACTGACATATAAAGGGAGCCAGTACCCAGAGGGAAAGAAGATGTGACTTTTGTAGCATAATATTATATAATAATAATATATTACTCATATGATAATGTGTAGTATAACCATAATTTGTAGCATAACCATAATAATAAAGTTAATATTGTCACATATCCACTAGTTTATGTTTGTAGGAGAATAAAGAAGTTGGCATTAAAACCATCCTTATCATTATTATTATTATTATTATTATTAATTAATTAATTTATTTACTTTTGGTACCAGGGATCAAACTTGGGCCCTTGGACTTGCGAGGCAGGTGGCAGAACCACTGAGCTAAATCTCCGGCCCCATCCTAATTATTTTTTAAAAATTTTTATTAGTACCTGTTTGTAGTGCATAATAATTATGTTCCTTGTGGGGAGTTGGTACATGTACATTAAGTATGAATCTTAATTCCTTTCTCATCCTTTCTTCCTTCCTTTTCGCTTCTCTCCATCTCTTGATCCCCTTCCCCTTTGCAAAAGATCTATCTCCCTATTTCTTATTATCTTTTATTTTGCTTTTTATTTTAATTCTGAGCTTCTCATAAGAAGAAACATGTGACATTTAAACTTGTATGTCTTGATTTATTTCACTTAACATTATGGTCCCAAAGTGCATCTGTTTTCCTACAAATGACTGAAGTTGTCCTTCTTTGGGACAGTAGTGCTCCATTGTGTATAAACACCACACTTTCTTTATCCATTCCTATACTGATGGACATAGAGGCTGCTTTCAAGAGTTAGCTATTATGAATTGTG